TTTTGGCAGAGTTTTTTGGGTCTTCTATGTAAAGTATCATATCATCAGCAAATAATGACAGTTTAACTTCTTCCTTTCCTATCTTTATTCCTTTTATTCACAGAAATATTTAAATGTTTATAATTTTCACCTTCCGGATAAATATTTCCTTTTAGTCTCATCCATACCTTAAAAAATACTGGAATAAAATAAACATCAAATAACATTTAAAGTTTTTGTGCAGTGCCTGAGCAGAATTTGGGGATTTTTTTTTTCTGTAGTTTACTGAAGGCAGGCATGTGTACAGAGGGAGGCACAGAGATAGTGTACAAAACATTTAATAGTCTCTTTCCATATAGATTTTGTCTTAGTTCATTTTTGTTGCTACAAGAAAACACCTGATATTGGGCAGGGATACAGAAAAAAGGTTTATTTAATTCATAGTTCTAGATGCAGGGAAGCTCAAGATCATGGTACCACTATCCGCGCGGCTTCTGGTGAGGCCTCATGCTGTCCCAAGTATGGTGATAAAATGTAAAGGGAGCTGAGAGTGTGGAAAAATCACATAGCAAGAATGGAAGCAAGAGGGCCAAGGAGAGCTGAATTTGCTTTATAACAACTTATTCTTAGGGGAAATACATTAATTCTTATGAGGATGGCATTCTCATGACCTAATTATCTCTTTGTGGTTTTTTTTTTTTTTTTGAGACTGAGTCTTACTTGGTAGTCCAGGGTGGCCTTGAGCTCACTTTGTAACCCATGCTGTCCTGGCCTTGAACTTGCAGTGATCCTCCTGCCTCAGCCTCCAGAGTGCTGGGATTTACAGGTGTATGCTAACACTCCTGGCTTCTTTATGGTTCTAACATCTCTATATTGTGAATTAAATTTCAACATGAATTTTAGTGGGGATAAAAACCTCTAAAGCATAGCAGCTATGTCCAACATAGGCAATTATTAATTCACTGTCCATGTGAAACTTAATGGAAACAGACATTTTTATTTCTTCAACTCTTACTACTATCTCATACATCCCTTTTCCCTTCTCAATTTCACTGTTCTGCTGTGAGATAATCCACATTTTCCATTTAGTATTTCTAATGTTAAATTTTTCTCTTTGCTTTCAATTTACTGAGAGTTGGCTAATCAGTTTTTTCCCTCTCAGATTGGTGTTTTCATTCAGAAGGCTTTGAAGCCATTTGAATTTCTACCTTTTCTATCTATGTTTTATTCTGCTACCTCTGCCCTGAAAACTTACATCATATTTAGCTTTTCATCTGTGACTGTTTCAATATAGACATACTTTATGGACTCTGGGAAAAACAGATGACATGAAATTAGAAAAGGGCCAATCTGTAAAGGGAAGGGATGAGGTGGGGGTAGGTAAGAGAAGATAGTAGAAAGGCTGAATACAATCAAAGCCCCTTATATACATGTATGGAAATGTCACAATGAAACTCACTAATTTGTACAATTAATCTGTACTAATAATTGTAATAAAAGAAACATTTAAATATTGATTAGAAGAAATTTCATCACTTTTCTATAATATGTGATTGCCTGTCTCACACATTGTAGTTAATGAATTATTTTCTTAATCTGAATTAAAAAATCCTTCTGTTTAGATATTCCTGGAGTAAATCGCATATGATTGTGAGTGTCTAAGGAATTACTTTGACTTTAATCTGAGATAGCAAATAGTATTTCAGAGCAATTCACAATAGAATCACCCCAAAGAGTCTACCTGCTAGAGTCATGTTGCATTAGGTTTAATGTATAGATTTTGGGAGGACACAGACATTCAGTGTATAGTATTTCACAAATTCTTTATCAGCAAAGATTTGTGTCTCTTTGCTCATTGTTGATTCCCTAGCATTATCTCAATAGTCATATTGTAGGTTTAGTTATTTCATTCAGTATTTCATTTTCTAAGTCTAGTATTTCAATATTTCAGTTTTAAGTTACCTACAGACATTCTCATGGCTTGCTCACTTTTGCTTTCTTTCCTTCCTTTTTTACCTCCCTTCCTCCCTCTCTCCCTCCCTCCATTCTTCCCTGCTTACTCCTGATAAGTTTAGGTAAATATCATATTTGTTTCTATTTTGTCCTTTCACAGCAAATTTTTTAAAATTTGATTTAGTAAATAAATACAAATCTGCCGTGTAAAATAGTTCTATTAAAAACTTAACAAAAATAATAGAAAATAAGATTAAACCTTTTGCAGAATATTGTTTATGCTCTCCAACAAGAACTTTTATTCACTTTATCCATACTGATTGAACTTGTTTTTTTAAAAAAGGCTATTTGTATATAATTTAAAAAATAGTACCAGATTTTGAGTAATACATGTATGTAAATAAACACAGCTTAATCAGCAATAAAGCCATCCTAAGGTTATTTCCTTCCCCCTTAGCTAGGTTGTTTTTTCAGCTAATGAGAGAAAGAAAGTGTTATGGTTTATATCTAAAATGTCACTTAAAAGTCTCACAATGGGAGATGGGGTTGTGAGGAGTAGGTTATTGGGGTGTGTGACTTTGAAGGGTATATTCTTGTCTCTGGATAACCCCCTCTTTCTCTGCTTCTTGGCTGCCATGATGGGGGTTGCTTCACACTGCCATGCTTTGGCTATGCTGTTTCTGCCTTGAAGCTTGGTGATTATAGACCAAATCCTCTTAAACCTTGAGCCAAAATAAACCTCCTCTCCTTTAAGTTATAAGTTTCAGGATTAATAGTCAATAATGGAGAAAGTGACTAATACAGAAAAATTGATACTAGGAGTGGGGTTGTTGTGATAGTACATGAGCGTGTGGTTCAGAAGCCTTGGGAACTGATGTGTGAGAAGAGTTTAGAATAGTTTGGTACCAGAGTTAAGAAAAACTTGGAGATGTAGGGTAGAGAAGCCCTAGAATGCTGTAAGCTGAACTTGAAAGGTGATTTTGGTTGGAGTTCAGAAGACCATCAGACTACTGATAGGAATGTGACAGCAAAGGCCAGGCTCAGATTTTAATTGCTGATGAAGGTTCTATTGGCAAATGGACTAGAGGCCATGTGTGTTATTCTCTGGCAAAAAGCTTGTTTACATTTCAGCTATGTCTTGAGATTATAAGGCTGAATTAAAAAATGGTGGACTAATTAATCTGGTGGAGGAAATATCAAGGCAGCCTACCATTCAGGCTGTGGCATGGGTGCAGCTGACTGCTTTTAACTAGATCTGCATTGAGAATCAGAGCTAAATAATTTGACAAATTTTCTGCATTGAGAAGCAGAGCTAAATAATTTGACAAATTTTCTGGTGGCCAGAAAGGAAGCATATGTAAAACTGGGTCCATGGAGAGCTTGGTTGCCAAAAAGATAAGTAGTAAAAGGAAGCCAAGTACTTTGTACAGGGATAAGAAAGATGCCTTACATCTCAGAAGTTATCAAGACCCCACCCATCACAGACTGAAGAGTACAGAATGGTAAATTGTTCACTTGAAAAGAGACCCTTCTCAATCAAGCCCGCCTATGGAAGTATAGCCCTGAGTTTAGGCATTCAGGCATTCAGAGGCTGCTGCAGCTGTGGTCTGAGGGGGCTAGCTGCTGCACAAGCTGATGGCCAACCATCCACATGGTGCTATCTTTTCAGGTATACAGAATGAAAAAGTTATGGGGTCATGGAAACTTCTACCCAGATTTAAGAAAGCCTGAGATGTCAGGCATAAATGTGTAACAGGGTCACTGTTACCATCAGAAGCCCATGAGAGGGCAATGCATGGAGGTATGAGAGTGAGGCCAAAAGCATAGTAGAAACCTTAGGAAGCTGGAGGTGCCAAGAATTGTGGAATATCTGCTGAGTAAAGCTGCAGACATTGAGGGGAGCCTCCTTAAAAGAGAGGCTATGTGGGCTGCAACCCACAAGGCCCTTTGCAGCTCACAGCTCACCACAGCCATCCCCAGGAGATGGATGTGGAGCTACAATATTTAATGTTTACTCAGCTGGGTTTCAGTCTTTCTTTGGTCCCATTCCTTTCTATCTGACCTATTTTTCCGTTGGAATAGAAATGTTTACCCTGTGCTATTATATGTTGGAAGTATATAACTTTCTTTTTGATTTTTCCAAGGGCTCACAGCTAAGAGTTTGCCTTGAGTCTCAGAGGATACATTGAGCTTAGACTATTCAGCAGTGCTGGAACTGTTAAAACTATCAACTTTTAGAGATGGACTAAATGCATTTTGTATAATGAGATGGACATGAGCCTTTTCTTGGCCAGGGGTGGAATGTCACAGTTTTGGTCTTAAAAAAATGTCCCCTAAAAAGTCTTATGTTTGAGGTGGGGCCTGATTAAAGACATGAGTCCTGGGGGATGTGACCTGCAGGGATTTATTCTTGTCCTCACCTCCTTCCTTCTCTCTCTTCTTCCTGGCTTCCATGGCATAAATTGCTTTCTTCTGCCATGCTCTTTCACTGTTTTTTCTGTCTTGGAGTCTGCCAGCTGTGGTTTGAACCCTCTCAAACTATGAACCAAAATGAACCCTATCTCCTTTAAGTTGGGGTAATTGGGTATTGTGTCTCAGAAAACAGAAAGTGACTATGACAGGACTAATAGGCATCAGTTAGACTATTCTTATCATTACCAGGCCTGGTAACTTTTTATTTCTCAAAAATTATGTTGTTTGAGGGCTTTCAATGTTTATAGCTCCTTCAGATCAAGAATAAAGTGTATTCATTTTTGCTTTCCTTAGGAAATTTTAATCTTTGTATGATGTGTAGCAATAAAAATCAAGACTTTTGCTTTAAATTTCCATTTTATTAAGAGTCATCTTCCTGGCTTTAAAAATATTAAAAGTGTTTCTTATAAGCAAGTATATTTTATTAAATAGTATTGGTTTTTCCCTACTAGAGGCTCACCTCTTCCAACTAAGAATAAATGGCAATAACATTTCACCTTTGGAATTCTTTCCAAAATTTTTTTTCCCTATAGGTTTATTTATGTTTACCCAACTTCCAGTCTCTTTTTGAGGGGCACTGCCTAATAGTTCCTTTGCAGCATCATCGAGCTGCTACCTTATTGGATGAAGACATCTGGGAAGAAATTCAGGTCAGCATGATAATGCTCACTATCATTGTAAAGCTCATGAATAGTTTTTCCAAAGTGTTGTAATATGTATATTCTAACAGGTTTTCTACTTCATTCAGTGATTTTACTTCTGAATTTAGATACTTTTATTTTCATAGTTGTTTATACTGGCAGATTGTTTCCATCACTCACTCACAACCTTTTAATGTTACAGTGGTACCTCAGTTCAAGAACTTAATTTATTCTATGTTCTGGAAAAGATGGCCACATTTGTGTCATGTGGGAAAGATGGCTGTGGTTGTGTTTGTCACCTGATGCAGAGTTCACAAACGAAACCAAAATTTTGCCAAACTTTGGTTTGCAAACAGAATTGTTCATGAACTGAGATACCACTGTATTTCCCTTATATAGTCAAAGTTTTCAAAACTTTTGTTTACTAAATAATTGATTACAAACTAATAATTATTTTGACCTAAAAATCAATCTAAGACTTCTAGTCAGTGATTTGTATAGCATGAAATATCGTTTTTGCCACAAGAAGGTAGTAAATTCCCATCCAGAAAAAAAGAAATTTTCATATAATAAAAAGAAGTTTGGGGAATCAGCAGTTGCCATATTTTCCTGTCATGGAATTGGCCTTCTCTGCTGCAGTGATTTTTTTTTTTTTCTCTAGTTTTAATTTCTGGTCTTTTCCTTTTATAATTTGACCAAGTTTTTGTATTTAGAGATTTGTTTTTGTGGCTCATACTTTTAAAAGATTAAAAGGCGCAACAACATGGGTAAAATTGTTGCTGAATTATTTCAAAACTTTATAATGACAGAAGGAGGGAAGAAGAAAGGGAGGGAAGTAGGTTGGTCTTGATTTTCTTTTAAACACCTTACAAATGAATAGAGGTTATAGAGACCCATAGTTTAAAAATCTAAAAATCATAAGACTTCAAAAGATACTATATGTTTCTCTTTGTAGCATGCCAATACAGGTGCCAAAAGAGATTTTTTTTTGGTACTGGGGATCGAACTTAGGTCCTTAGCTTGCAAGGCAGGCGGTGGAACCACTGAGCTAAATCCCTGACCCAAGAGGAGATATTTTTGTTGCATTTCATGAAATTTAGTCTCTTACTGCCTGGGCTTTTAAAGTTTATACTGTGAAAGTTAAATGGGCTGCTTGTTTTGTTGCATCCAAGGCCATGGAAGGATAAACATATGATGAGTATTTTTGGTGTAAAAGTGTTTTCCCTGCATTAGTGGAAATAACAATAAATGATTTAAGGTGAAAAGTCTGGAGATATTTGGGTTTTAGAATTATTTTAGAGCTTTCTGGGATGCATTTTAAGAATGTATACATACAAACAGATTTAACTTAGAATACAGTAACAGTGCCAAAAGTCTTCAGTAATTACAGAAATCTAGTGGATATGTTTTATATTTCTGTAAGAAATTAAGCTCCTTGATGAAAAACATTGAGGTAGAGAAACAGATATATTCAGCTCAACAGATACTGAATACATGAATATGTTATTTTAGGTCCGATGAGAAATGCATAGGTAAAATCATTCATTGGTTCTGCCCAAAGGAATAATATATTTTTTTGTAGGTTGGATAGATGCATTATGGAAAGTTCAGGCAAGGAGGAAGAGCCAAATTTTTTAATACAAATAATGACAAATCTCTTTTTGTATGATAAAAGACAAATAATATTAGAAATTATAAAATACTATAAGATAATGAATAAAGTATCTCAATCTTATTGCTGTATATTTCTAAAAGTGCATTTGTTTGGGTTTTGTTTTTACCTTTAAGTATGTTAATTACACTCTGGTGAGTATCTTTATGGTTATTCACTTCCTTTGTTGGATACATTTGTTTTTGGTACTGGGGATTGAACTCAGGACCTTGAACTTGCAAGGCAGGTGCCAGAACCACTGAGCTAAATCCCTGGCCCTTTGTTGGATACATTTTAAAAATTGATTTGACTTAACACAAAATATTGTTTGCAGAGGCAGTAGCTCTTTTTCATGAGTTTTTTTAAAGAATTATGTACCATTATGTAGAAACATTTAAATTTAACTTTAGATCTTCTATTTAATAGAAAATACAAAGATAAATTTTAGCATAGCATACTTAATAATAAATTTCATATAAGTGAGATTCAAATTGTTAAATATAGTGATACTTGGTCCTTTTAAAATTTATTCTTATCATGTTGAAAAATATGCCAAATATATGCTACTGTCAGACTGTATAGCCCATTTAAGAAAAAAAAAAAAATCCCAAACTGGTGAGGTGGAGGAGGAGCATTGTTGATGCATGTCTGCAGTAGGCCTCACCATGGAATGATGTGATGGGACCATTTCATTTAGAAACTGCTGGTTGTAGTCCCTTTAGGTCTTTTTCTTGGAGCTCTGACTCTCCAGAAAAGACCTTTTGAGTCTCCTGTCAGTCCCATCTGATTCTGCATGCCAGGGTTTTAGATGCTGAGGGGCAAAGAAAGTTGGGGGTGACTGAATATTAAGTATTTAAGAACATTAAGTAGTCTTTCCTACAACACCCCTGTTTTCAGGATAAGTACCCTTTCTCAGAGGATCATCCTGTAGTATTCTGCTGTTGAGATTGGCATGTTAATTGCTTTTTATAAAACTTTATTATATAAGTCATCTGTTTTAGCTCCATCTTTTCCTATTCTTCCATGAGGTAACTTCCAGAAGCTTTTGGGGTTTTGTGGGCAACAAGGATTCTTCCCTGCCATTCCTGTTGATCCATCTTCCTCTTATTGTATGCACCAGCTTTCTAGTATTTGTCATGTAATCTGATTTTTATTATGTCTTCTCCAGTTCTTCTTGTCTAAGTAGGTTTATCCCTTTAAAGAAAGTTAATTTAATGTCAGTTTTGAGGGTCACTCCATGGAGAAAGTGGAAATAAATGTGAGTCTTCTGTCTTGTTATCTTTAGATAACTTTATATTTAGGTATGTTGTATTTTAAACCTTGAATAAAGTATAGCATTAATATTGTACAGTAGCCCTATCTAGCTTTAATAGTTTAAGAAAAATAATTTTAATTTTAAAATTATTTATATTTACTTGACTTTTTAATGATGTGATACAAATTGTGAACCTCAACATTCTGCAGTATACCTTACCTGAATACATTGTAAGGAATTTTAATTCAGACACGTTAATTAATGATAGTTTAGGAATGTGGGAAACAGGGACTTTTAAAGAATGAAGTATATTGTGGGAATATAGGAATTTCATGTCATCCTTATAATTTGGGGTCTCTATATTTTAAGAATAAAATAATTTCGGTGTCTCTTTTAATAGTGAGCCATAAAAACTTTTCTCATCATTTAGTTGTTATATAACTTTAAAAATGAATATTATGAAAAACATACAGTATATATTTTATGTTGCACTTAGACACAATTTTCTTTTAATAGAGATAATATCTCAAATTTTTCCATTAAACTATTTTTAAAGTCTTTTACATACATAGACGAGAAGCACTTAAATATATAAATGTGTGTCATTTTTCTACTTTCTTTAGATGTTTAGGAAATCATTAGTAAAGATGTTTGAAGATAAAGGATTGGACTGCATCTTTTTAGAAACTAATATGAACATGAAGAAACAGTATCACATGGTTTATGAATGTATTCCTCTCCCAAAGGAAGTGGGTGATATGGCTCCTGTCTATTTTAAGGTATTTATAGACAGTTTTTGCACATCTACTAATTTTTTGCTGCTGTACTGCTTTAAGGATAGAGTTGTCTTTATTCATGTACTTTTTCCCATATCTCTATATAAAATTTTATATCATATAAAGAAAAGTATATTATATAAAGAAAATTTTTCTGCTAAATGTATATCTGTTGGAAGAAAGGTAGACTTTTTACCTTTTAAAAACATGCTTGCTTCAAATAGTAAACTATAATTTCTATTTTAATCCCTATTTCTTTAGTGAGGTATATTCTACCAGAGTGCACTTCTAAATTAAAACTGTAGTCATAATTCTAGAAAATGGATCATTGAAAAACTGAAACCAAAGATAACATGAAAATAGTACAAATTGCAATTGCTGAGACAAGTTATTGATGAACTTTAGTATTTAATATCTGATCATGCTACTTACTATGGAAAAATGTCTAATTTTGATGTATATTTTAGGGCATGTAATAAATCACTAGAGTTTATATCTGATTGTCATTAAAGAATTCAAGCAGCTTTTACTAAATAATGTTTGATACTGACCTGAATGTGATTTATGGACTAATGCAAATACCTAAATGTAGAAACATATGTGAAATATTGACATATGCAAAGAAAAAGGAGGATAATGTTCTGTGAGTTGGTATAAGAAGATTACATATAAAATGTTAAAATATATGATTATGAGCTGTAAGGATTATGAAATTTGTTAAGGCAAAATTTTTTTCTATTTAGAAATCTTTAAATATGGTACAATTATTTGATTTAAAGAATTGTGCTGTAGTCGAGTGTGGTGGTGTATGCCTGTAATCCCAGTACTTGGGAGGCTGAGGCAGGAGGATCACCACAAGTTCTGGACTACATAGTGAGTTCAAGGCCAGCTGAACTACACAGGGAGACCCTGTATCAGAAAACAAAGAAACAAAAAAGAATTATGTTGATAAAGTATAGGGAAATAAGTCATGTAATCTCAAAGGCTCATGCTCTTTCTGTGCTAACCAAATTTAGTTGAGAAAGAGATTATTACACTTTTTTCAGTTTTTTTTTTGGTATTTCCTCAGTATCAATGGCTAATTATGACTAGAAGCATTTGAGAAGTAGGGAGGGACCAACTTAGAGCAACCACTGTTGCTCATGTAAAGTGCCAGAAATGTCATCTGTTGGCAGAATGGCGTAACATATTTCTGTTCTACACTAAACCTTTTATTTGACCCTTAAAAATGCATTTATTATTTCACTTGATTTCAATTTTATATTAAATGTGCTACATTATGATGTGAAGTCAGGGAACACATGATTTTAAAACAGGACAGCAGTGTATCTGATGTACTTGAAACATATTTGAATGTTAATTTCAACTTTAAAATTTCCCTTATAAATATGATAGTATAAAATAATTATATCATTACTGTGGCTTTTACTTTTATGAAGCATTTCTTTACTATAAATAGTAGCCATATTGCTGACCCTGGAAAAGTCTTAAAATTCCATTTCTGTGTATTTTCCTTGCTGTCTTTTAAAGAAAAACAGGTCTTAGTTGTCTGCATTTTTACTTTTTTATATGGGTGGAAATAGTTCAAGTTTTTGGTTGGCACAAGAGCAATAAAACTAAATGAATTTATTTGAGTAGCATTCTGTGGATGTAAAAAGAAATTTACATAGGCTTTTATATTTACAAGTTATGCTCAGCACTAAATTATTTGGTCTTCTTTTTGTTTTTGTTTTTTTGGGAGGTACCAGGGATCGAACTCAGGACCTTGCTCTTGAGAGGCAGGCATGGTGCCAACTGAGCTAAATCCGTGGCCCTAAATTATTTGGTCTTATCAGTGATTTTTTTTTTATGTAAAGTTGAGCTGAAGTTAGTACAAGAGTTAATAGTAAGTAAAAGAATATTGTCTTTGCCCAGCAGGATTTTAACACAATCAAGAGCTCTAATTTTAAATAACAGAAATTAAAGCCTTAATCTATTCAGATAAATGTATATTATATATACTATTATATATTTTGCATAGTATTACTATGTATACTATAGTGTGTAATAAATTCATTGTATTATTTTAAGTGGTCTATTTGTATTTGCCGTTACATTACTTCTTCATTTAACAAATGGCTGTTTCTTAGAAAGCCATAATGGAATCTGATGAAGAGTGGTCCATGAACAAGAAATTGATTGATCTTTCTTCAAAAGACATCAGAAAGTCTGTAAGTACCATTTTCTTTTCTAACAGAAGAGGTTATTCTAGTATTTAGAATCTTTATTATCTTCTACATCTTAGTTGAGAAATAGACCATTTGGCTGAGTGACTGAAGGTAAATAATTCCACAGATAAGAAATTATTTTCATCTATCTGGTGTGTAAAATGCAAATATAGAGAGATTTTATTTTATCTTGGGCATCTACCATGACCCCCCCGCCCCTCATAATTTAAATGGCAGCCATCTGAATCTTCCATCAGACCTTCTCTAAGATTTATAGGCCAGAGATGAGAGGGGAATTCATGTTACTAGAATTATAATGAGAGAAAAATTTTCTGAGAGGCTAAAGTTTGAATTTGGAATTCATTTTCTTTTTTTAATGTAAAAATTCCCTGTTTTGTTCCCATATACATGTGGTAAACATAGGGACTTATCTGTTTTATAGTTTAATCTAGTTTTTTTTTTTTGGTACCAGGAATCAAACTCGGGACCTTGTCCTTTTGAGGCAGGCGCCAGAACCACTGAGCTAAATCCCCTGCCCCTTTTAATCTTGTTTTGTCAATCAAATTTTAGATATAAGTTCTACTTAAGATCAGTACTTCTATAATGACCTTTCGTATTTCTATAAATGTAAATAATGGAATAGAGATTTAATAAAAGTATGGATTCCTTTTTTTTGCCAAAATATAATTTATTGTACAAATATTTATTGAGTGCATTCTATTTGTGGGTACTGTTCTAGGCATACTGTTCTGTTTTGTGCATAGTAGAACAAAATGGAGATGATCCTTGCTTTTATGGAGCTTGTATTCTAGTACAAGAAATGGCAGCTTGAGCCAGCATGTTCAACTCAGTCCCCTGCTTGTTAAATGAAGTTTCATTGGAACATAGCCATACCCTTTTGTTATGTATTGCTTGTGGCTGCTTTCATGCTAAAGGGTCAGAGTTAAGTAGGCACAATAAGAACTACATGATTCACAAAGTATAAAACATTTTATTATGTGGCAGTTTAATAGACAACATTTGCCAGTCCGCCTTCTAGTAAATGTCACTAGACTTTTTCTCCCCTATTTCTTCTTCTGGAAAGCCAGATTCCTGATAGATGACTTGTATCTGAAAGGATTCCTTATTATACTTATTATATCTCAGTCAGAATATTCAAATTTCATTGCATTACTGAAGGTACATAATTGTAATGGAAAGGCACAACATTGTCTTCCCTTGCTGGTAAATTGGACCAGACAATGTATTAATACTACAAACTAAAAGAAGAACAAAAGCAAAACATCCCAAGTGTCATATTTACTTCTCTCTCTTATTAGCATATAAAAAAGGATAGTTAATGTACATACATATTTTGTGCCCATTTTTTGTACTTCATAAATCAAAATTTCCCATACTATTAAATATTCTTTCAGAAAATGATTTTAATGGCGACTAAAAACATTTCCAAGTAGAAATTTTTACAATGAGAATTTTTTTCTTTTTTTTCCCCCGGTGCTGGGGATCGAACTCAGGACTTTGTGCTTGCCAGGCAGGCACAGCGCCACTGAGCTACATCCCCAGGCCCCAGAGTAGAATTTTTTAAAGAAATGTATGATTCTCCATCTGCTGTACAGTACACACAGCTTTTTACTGGTGAATCATCTAGTATTTTTTTTGGGGGGGGTACTGGGGATCAAACTCGGGACCTTGCGCTTGCGAGGCAGGTGGCGGAATCACTGAGCTAAATCCCTGGGCCTAGTATCTCTTATTTTTTAAGACCAAGATAAGTACCTGAATGAAGTAACCAGGAGATCTTATTTAGTTAATCCCTTTCTCTTTAAAAACAACTTCAAGTATGTCAGTCAAAATCTACACTTCACGCATAAGACAGTGCTATGAAATGATGAGTACAACCAACAAATTTGTGAAAATCTAAGAACACAATAAAGTAAAGATACAGAGAGAAAAGCAATAAACATGAAAATGTGTAAACCTGTACAACTACAGGCAGTTTTTATTTTTAATATAATCTTAATTTTTTAATAGTACATGTTTGCAGTATATAATGTTATGTTTCTAGTGTGGATTTGGTACATATACATAACACATCTTAATTCCTTTCTCATCCTCTTTCCCTCTCATTCCTCTTGACTCTCTCCATCTCTTTTTTTTTTCCTTCTTAAATTGTCTTATTGGTACATTTTAAGTATACAGTACGTTTACATTTATCATTGGGTGCTTGTACCTGTACATGATGTATCTTGGTTCTTACTTTTTTCCCCATTACTTGTGTACCCTTCACCCCCTCCACTCTTCCCTATCCACATAGATTTCATTTCCATTTTTTTTCTTTTCTCATAATTTTTCCTTTCCCTTCTTTCCTTTCCCCTTCCCCTCCCACCATCCCTACCCCTTTGGACCTTTTCTTCCTATTTCAAATTATC